ATGTAACATTTTCAAAAGTTATGGAGGAAATAGGAGAGAACCTGACATTTATTTTGACAGTTGCATTGATCTACAGTATGAAGATAAGTATTTTAATTAATTTGATTTCATATGCTACCATCTGGCTAACTTAGAATACTACAGATGCTAATGTGCAGTGATGATTCAGCTGCAGAAACATTTCAAGACAAGTCAATAACTGTTTTAATGAATTGTGTGGGCTTAAGTTTGCATAATTCTATTCTGAATAGGAAATTTTTTAAAGAAACTAAATTCTGGGGAAAAAAATATGAGAACACCCAAGCACATTTCAAAGCCAGTGTGTGGTAAATGCCTTATCTAGTCATTTTGCTTCAACCATAACTGCAAAAGCAAAATATGTTTTGTCAAATTGAAAACAACTGGCTCTTGGAAAACTGTACCTAGAGGAGAGTATTGATCTCTAGAGTACTCTACCTTTAAATCTGGGCATAGGGGCTATATTTCCCTATTCAAATTATGATCTCATTTTGTATCTAATGGTGTACTCCAAAGCACTTCCTCCTCTATGTCCCACAATGTTGCTCTTTACTCCTTTTTTACGTATAGCAAGTATCTAAACATTGCAAAAACAAAGCTAAGACATTTATATTTGCAATACTAATGCCAGGGCCAGCTCTAGGTTTTTTGCAGCCCCAAGCAAAAAAATTTTTGGCGCCCCCCACTTTTTTTTGGCTTTTACACGTTTGCACTTCGCAATGTTTTTTGTTTTGTTTTGACTTATTAAAATAAAAAATAAAATGAAAACAGGGAGTTTGTAGTTAGTGAAATAAAACAATTTCCTTCTAGTGTACTCATTTAATTTTAACAAAATCACAATTAGAAACAATTTGGGTTCAACTATACACTGTACTGAAAAATGTTAGTGTCTTCCATTGCCCCCAGTTTCTCATAAATTAAAAGAATTTATATGAACTGAATTTTTCTGGTTTTTATACTTGCGTGGTCTTTTAATAATTCAATGAAATCTAAATTTTTTGCAATGGTACTTTCAATTGAAATTAATGCGAGTCCTGACAAACGATTTTGAGACATGGTGCACCTCAAATAATTTTTTAGTCATTTCGGTTTTGATAAATTGTGCTCACCAGAAGCCACTGATACTGGTAATGTCGACTTTTTAAAAATAGTTTTTCTAATTCTTTTTGCCGTTTCTCTCTTTGTTGCCGGTAGGCAGCACCGGAAAGTCGTTTTTGTTTTTGTCCCGGCATTATAGTCCTATAACCACTCGCACCGACGTGACACGGAAATTGGCGCGAATGGTGCCGATAGGGCAGCACAATACACACAAGTAATTGTGATTCCTGATTTAATTAATCAATAACCATTAATGTTTACACATTTACGCACGTTCATATTATGAGTGACACTGTCACGATGTGACATAATATTTTTCACGTCATGCTCCTATCGCACTACTGGAGATTTTTTTGATCTTCATGGTTTTTTTTAAATTTTTTTATATACATTGGTGGATTTTTCCAGAAAAAAAGGATGGCCAGAATGCCGCCCCTGGAAATGTGCCACCCCTAACGTGTGCTTGCTTTGCTGGTGCCTAGAGCTGGTCCTGACTAATGCCTCTCTCTTCCCTCTCTCTGCTGGAGGATATCAGTAAGTTCTTTAGAAAACTTGAATGTAAGAAACCTGTAGCCTGAGTTGCACCTCTCCCTCATCCCTGATAAAGGGATGTGAATGCTGATGCTTAGACTAAGCCCTTGTTAAAATGATTTAATAGAAAAGAGCACCCAACTGAAGGAAAATTTGCTTCATTAATATGCACACCCTTTCTCAAAATTACTTCATCTTTGAGATACTTGTTACTGAATAAGGCTGTATTATTCTCATTATCACAGATTTAATGGAAAACAAAAGTTAACTGTTGTAAAATATGAGAAATTTCAGCTTTGTACAATAAGCAAAAATTGGCAAATTGAGAGAGAATCCTGACAGAGGGGAATGTTATTGACCAATCACTATCATTGAGGTGGAGAGTGCAGGAGAAAAGTGGAATTAGGGATGATTTGAAGCCAGCTGCCCTTCTGTTGGGCTCTCTCAGGTAAGTCTGTAAGGGACCTGGGAAGAAGCAGGGAAAAAACCAAGAGGATCTTAGGAAAAAGAAGATATAACTCTTCACCCTTCACTTACTCATGAAGTGTCAGGACCTCTTTCTCCTGAACTTGGTCATTTTCTTTGCATCTCTCTGCTTTCAGTGGTCTAGTGCTTGATTTTCAAAAGAGCTCAACACCCATAATTGGGCCCAGATTTTGAAAAGCAGCTCCCATTCAGAATTTAGATTCTGTGTTGTGCTTTTCCTGGGATATTGTTCTACAAGGCTAGAAACCTGGAAGAAGTCCAGTCCATCTTGAAAGTGATCTTTTACCAACACAGACGCATGGAGGATCAGGGCTATTCCAGATTTTCAACATTGGAGAACAATATCCCAACAAAACCATAATTTAGAATCAGTTGGACTGACTGAAAAAAACCCATCATTTGATGTGACAGGCATGTGCAGAACATTTCCCAGATTTGACAGATAATCCAGTTAGCTGTCAGTGTAGAAGTGTCAAAAACTATTTGTCAACATTGAAACAGTTTTGACAAATCTCCGGACTTGAAAAAGCATTGAAAAAAGATGTTGAACAAAAACATTTGACATTTTCTCAATGACCATTTTAAAGTGCAGAATTGAAATGTACTTTTTGTTTAGGAATATAAGCTAATTAGACTGAAAAAAGTTTAAAAATGTTGAAATTGAACATGTTTCAAAATTAATCAAAACTAAATGTTTTGATTGACCCAAAGTGAAATTTTGTTAGGTTTTTCATTTGAGATTTTGACTTTTTGTCCTGATTCAGAATGGGACAAATTTTCAACTCTCAAAAATATTTGAGGGATGGGAAAACCATTTCCCACCCAGCTCTAGTTAAAAAAGTCATTGTCAAGCTATGCTACACTGCTACGTCAGAAATAAAACCAGAGAATGTTCATCTGCAGCAGAATAATCTCAAGTGCTAAACCATTTTTCTACAGTAGTTACAGGATGTTTGAGCAGATTTTGCAGAAATCTGTAATGCTTTTGAATTTATACAAAAGTTAGCCTTAGATCAGAGGTGGGCCAACTACAGCCCCAGGCCACATCCAGCCCATGGGACCCACCTGCCCGGCCCCTGAACTCCTGCCTCAGGAGGCTAGCCCCCCTCCCCCACAGCCTCAGCTCACCCCGCCGCCAGCGCAATGCTCTGGGCGGCGGGGCTGCAAGCTCCTGGGGCAGAGCAGCTGCAGAGCAGGGGCCTGACCTGGTGCTTTGTGCTGAGTGGTGGTGTGGCAGGCTCCAGGCGGGTGGCATGGCTGCCAGTCCTGGTGCTCTGGGTGGCGCCGCCAGCCACCGATGCTCAAGGCAGGATAAGGGGGAAGGGAGTGGTGGGGTTGGATAAAGGGCAGGGGAGTTCAGGGTGGTGGTCAGGGGGTGGGCGTGTGGATGGGGTCAGGGCTGTCAGAGGGCGGGGAACAGGGGGGTTGAATGAGGGTAGGGTTCCCTGGGGGCAGTCAGGAAGGAGAGGGGGGTTGGATGGGGCAGGAGGCTGTCAGGGGGCAAGAAGCAGGAGGGGTCGGATAGGGGGTGGGGGCCAGGCCATGCCTGACTGTTTGCGGAGGCACAGCCTCTCCTAACCAGCCCTCCATACAATTTCAGAAACCCAATGGGGCCCTCAGGCCAAAAAGTTTGCCCGCCCCTGCCTTAGATTCTTGGAATTTTCATAATAAAGTTCCAGGTCAGTGGGAGCTGCTAGATGCTTTGCACTTTTGAAAATCTGAACACTTGTTTAGGTACCTCACTATGGATTTAGGAAGCTCTTATTTTTAAAAAATGTTGACCTGGAAGTGCTGGGCAAGAGCACTGCTGTTTGAGAACCTTCCTTTGCACTAAACTGCCTGGTGTGTATATAAGTGCTGTAGCAGAGGGTTTACAGCTATTCCACCTTTAAAGCACTTTTCTCCATTAATACTGGCTTTTAATGGCAGGATTATAAGCACTGAATATTTTCTAGAACTGGAAAGCTGGTGACAGGAGTTAACCAGTGACTCTCTACTGCATTACTCTCTGGAGAGCTGCCAGCAGACCAAATAAGATGGTGATCCAGAGTAGGCGGCTCTGGCACACACACATAGATGAACCTAGGATTACCTTTACCTGCAGATTCTAGCTACTGCTCTCCTGTGTTGCTGAGGAAAGCCAGTGGAAAGTGTAGTAGAATTGGAGATTGGAGGTAGATTGGACTGACATGTAAAAGTGTGCACACACACCTCCACCCCAAGGGACCTGGTCAGCTAGAACAGGGATGCTGGTGATATGCGTGAGATCACGCTGCTACATTGCTGGCAGAAGCTAGTGGAAGATGATGATGATATGCACCTGGCACTGGACTGACAAATGCATCACCTGTGGGAGCAGGAAGGAATGCAGATTAGTACAGGATCCTCAGGCTATCTAAGAGCAAGTTCAACAAGTTCTTATTACTGAAAATCCAATTAATTTGAAGTTCTCAGCAATTCGTGAGCGAAAATTCTCGCACGGAAAGCTTTGTGGTGTGCAGAAGAGTGATCCTAGGCCTGCTCTCTTGGATGGACGTACAGAACACTGGAGCTAGAATGCAGAGCTGCAGCAGTCCAGCAGAGTAGACTGAATTCAACAGTGGAAGAAAGAGGGGAGGAAAAAGCCCAAACTGCTTTCACTGTGGCCAAATGAACCCATCAGATACAATGATCTGGGCATGATTTATGTATGTCTATGCATGAGAAATGCCTACTAAAATTAATAGGAGATACATGCCACTACTAAAAAAATAGGTTTCTAAAATTATAATTAAAATAATTTACAAAAGTTTTCATTCTGACATTGAGACTCCGTTTTTTGTTAGCAGTTAGCAATAAGAAATCCAAGGTACCACCAAACAATTCAATCAAGTTGACATTATTTTCTGCTTTATTAATTTTCATAGTAGGTTTTCTATAATTTCAAATGCTAGTCTAGTTTATGTTGCAGTTTTTTAGCTTTTATTACAAGTTTTGCATCCTGAAATTATTTGCATTTAAAGAAAGTTAAACAAAAACACAACCACTATCAGTCAGCTGTTTGCTTTAGGATATAGGGTTCCAATTTCACTAGAAACAAGGACTATTTTAATTTCACCTGTGTTGAGGATTTGTCTCCAAATATACTTAACACACACTATTTCATAAATGTAAAGAACCACACATCAGTAGAAACTAGTCTTACAGTAGAGACAAGTTCTCTTAACATTGAAACTTGAATTTTCTAATTCGTAAAAAAAATTGGTCCACATACAAAGTAAAATGGGTAAATACAGGTTTAATCAGAGCAAATGCTTTCTTTTTATTCAGTTCCAATTGTAGCGTTCTCTTGGAGGTAAATCATAATGTGTTCTCTCTTCCTCTTCAGGTCTGTAATCTAGTGGCAAACCATAATTGTAATCAACTGTTACAATGGGTAATCTTTTGCCTTGCTCCATATCTCTTGTAAATTCACCTTGAAAAGGTTTCCTTTCATAATCAGTTGAATCATCTTCCTGGTGTATGGATGAGGACAGATGCATTGTGCGTGAAGAATATGGTGCAAATCTGTTTTTTCCCCCTCTGTTAAATTCATCTGAAGGACGTGTTCTCCTATTATCTTCAGGACAGCTAGGCCGATTACTATAATAAAACCAAATATTAACTATACAATTCTTAGATATACAATATTTCATTAATGATAATTGGCTCGCATTAAACTCTAAAATGGTGTACCTTCAAAAAGAAATTATAGGTAAGTAATTTACCCTTTAGTATACTGGAAATGGAAAAGGTCATCCAGCTCCAAATTCTTTCCTTTTTATGCTTCATCTTAATATTACATTGCAACTTCATTACTCTCCTCAATACCCTTCTTCGTTCTTAGAGACAAATTTACCTAGGTATTGCTAACTTATTTGTATTTGTAATATTTGCCTTCTTTTGAATTAAGTTGACTACCCTTTCTGTAAGGTAGTTCTAACAGGAGTTCCCTATTTATTAATAATTTCTTCACTTTTGGATCATGTTTCTAGTTTTAAGACCCTAAATAATGTGAAAAAAAAATCAACATCAACGTTATCTTTCCTTTGGAAAACATAATAGTAGCACTCTACTGCATGTTCTCTATTGCAATAATATTGTTCCTATGATATGGTGACTTAGGATCTAATAAGTACCATATATGCCATATGGTAAAGGGTGTACACACACACACACACACACCCTTACCATATATACCCACAATTGTTTTGTATTCCGTCTCTCTGGTCACAAAAAATTTGCAATGGTGAGAATGATTAACCATTGGAACAATTTACCAACGGGTGTGATGGATTTTCTATCACTGACAACTTTTAAATCAAGATTGGATGTTTTTCTAAAAGATATGGTCTAGGAATTATTTTGGGGGAGTTCTATTGCCTGAAGGGCATCAGACTAGATGATCACAATGCTCCCTTTTGGGTTTAAAATCAATGAATTTAGCATATATACCATATCTTGGCTCTTTGCTCCCAGCGTAAGTTATAGTATTTCATATTTACCTTCTTTGTACTGCATTTGCCACCTGCTGATCCAATTACCTACATCAGAGGTTCTCAAACTGTGTCATAGCATGGACTACATTTTTAAACAGAGAAACTGCCTTGTGAAACACCTCCCACATATTCACATAGAACACAGCCCCCTCCGTCCTATTTATGATTACATCATCCCAATTGTTCACACAGAAAAGTAATAGCCAAAATGAATTCAGTGTAACTTTTGCAGCATTTAATGCAATGTAGCAACTAGAAAGAAAGAGGATGACCAGCACCCCAACAACCACATTTAGGAACCACTGATCTAACCAATCCAAGTATTTTTGTATCTGGTTTCACTGTCCCTCATAATTTGCTCATTTTCAGGTTCAATATCACCTGCAGATTTTGAGAATTCTGGTTCTAATCTTGTAAAATACTTATGCAAGTGAGTAATTCCATCAACTGGTGTTAACGTTAGTTAGAGGATTAGAACTCAGCAAATTATGAGGGAATATGAAACTAGATTCACAAGATTGGATTATTTAGGTCAGTCATGTCCTAACTGTGGTCCTTGGAATGCAGGTGTTCTCTGATTCTAACTAGCTAGTTTGCAGGTTTGGGACTTTGGTGTCAATATTACACATTCAAATCACGTACACAAATTAAAAAGGGTCTTCTATCAGATTCTAAATAACTTTCATCCAACTCCCAGAAAGTCAATGGAAAGACTCCTACTGATTTTTCTGGTGTTTGGATTGGACTCTCAGTGCCGATTATTTGAGCTGTGCGCTACATGACTGCAGGATGGGAAGAACTTCAAAGAAGAATATATCCCAAGTTTTTATTTTGCTTTAAGAATGAGTTCACCATGTAGGGACTGTTAAATAATTTCTAGTTAAAAATATGATTGCATTAATGAGCATCAGTGTTATGAAACAAACATAATTTGCTGCACATTAAACTCAGGATTTTGTTTTTTGCCAATTAATTTGATGCCTGTAATAAATTTTCCAGTGATAGTCAGAGTACGTACTTCAAAATCCTGATTTTCAGATCCATGTGCAACTTTATTGTCTCTGGTATCTAAAATTCTCCTAACAAGTACCATATATTATAATGTCTCATCCATTATCAGATATAATTATACATATGCATGAATTTCATAATACATTTCCATTATAAATTGCTTATATTGCAGTATAGCAAGAACAAATATCTCGTTTGACAACTGCACATCCAATTTAAGTTTCTATGGTCATAGTGGCAGAGGGATGGTAATGTGTAGAGGGGTACGTAGATTGATATATGAACGCTGGATATTTACCTGTAACTTCTACTGAAATCATCATTATCAGATCCGTAATCTCTGTGACGTGAAGGAGAAGAAGAAAAGTGAGGTTCTGGTAAATTTTCATGGGAGGAAAATGACCGATTTCTGAAAGAAACAAAAGAATTACACACTAGTCTTTCTTAACATGTAAAATAATTCACTAATTCTAGTGAAAGTTCTTTTAGATTTTTTTTAAAAAGTAACCAAAACTAGTTAGCATGGAAGGAATGTTTTAGTTATATAAGTGAGAGTATAATTATTATTTTAGTAATATCAAAATTATAAAGTCTCAGAAGAATGATCTAATATCCCTAATTGTTTAAATCGTGTACATCAAAAGTGAAGGATAGAAATAAGTCTTTAAAATTTATTTAAGTATTTGGGAGTGCTATAATTTAACAGTGTAAAGAATATTACTGCAAATTTTATGTCAAAGGTTTTACTTTTGAACCCAGCGGTCTGGAAGGGGGCCCAGGGCCCAGCTTCCTCCCCCTTCTCGTCGGCCCTGTTTAGCCGGTCCACCCTTGCTAAGGGGCCTGAAAAAAATCCGGGCCCGGCTTCCCCCCGCCCGTCGGTCCTGTTTAGCTGGTCCACCCTTGCTGGGGGGCCCGAAAAATTTTTTTCACCGGGGCCCGAACCCGCTCTCGCGGCCCTGTTAACAAGGTATTTGTTTTAGAGAGTCATCAAGGATTTACAGTTCTTAAATGAGAGGTTCGCTAGCAGACATTACTTATGAAATAAGCAACTGAAATCCAACACTTCCTCACTGCTTTGCTGATTACCTCAACTTGGTTAAAGGGATTAACATAATATCATATTACCTTCAATCCTGAGGACTGATTTTCAGATGCAAACCTCTTCACTATAAAATGAAGTGAGATGAAGCATTTTGTCTCAAGTTGATTCTGAGCAGTTACTGGAAATGTGCTTTAATTCAGCTCTCTAATTTAAGAAAGTACAGAAATACTCTGGAGATGACAGTTTCCCAACCTTAGGGCCTGATTCTGCAAACCCTTACATGAGTAAAAGGAGGGAAAAAATCTAACTAATTGCTCATTATCCTAAAAATGTCATATAATAATATGCTGAGGAACAACATTTGCTACTCCCTAAATCTGCTGTAACAGCAAAACAATACTTCACCTGTCTGAACACCATTCACGTGGCAAGTCGTCATGGTCATGAAAAGGTTGCAGTCTTTGTCCATGCCCCTTATTAACAAAATCAAAATCTTTCAACTGTGTCTGTTCCTGTAAGTCATCATAAGCTTGATTGTCATGAAAAGGTCTGCGCCTTTGTCCAGGACCCCTATTATCAAAATCTTTCAATTGCATCTCTGTTTGTAAATCATTGTGAGGCTGATGGTCATGAAAAGGTCTCAGCCTATGCCCACGGCCCCTATTAACAAATTCAAAATCTCCCAACTGCATCTGGGGTTGTAAGTCATCATGTGTTTGGTAGTCGTGAAAAGGTCTCAGCCTTTGCCCGGGCCCCTTGTTAATGAAATCTAAATCCTTTAATTGCATCTGTGCCTGAAATTCATCATGAGACTGGTGGTCATGGAAAAGTCTTCGCCTCTGCCCACGGCCTCTGTTAACAAAGTCAAAATCTTCAAGCTGCATGTCATCCTGTAAGTCACTGTGAGATGGGTGATCAGGAAAGGGTCTCTGCCTTTGTCCACGGCCTCTATTAACATACTCAAAGTCTCTTGACTGCATGTCTCCCTGTAAGTCATCATTAAACTGGTGGCCATGAAAAGGTCTCAGTCTTTGTCCAGGCCCTTTGTTACTGAAATCTAGATCTTTCAGCTGCATGTCTTCTTGATAGTCATCATAAAACTGGTGGTCAGGAAAAGGTCTTCGCCTTTGTCCAGGTCCCCTGTTGTAGTCCCAATCTCTCATTTGCATTGGCGCTTGTAAATCATCCTGAGATTGGTGGTCATGAAATGGTCTTCGTCTTTGTCCAGGTCCCTTGTTAATGAAATCAAAATCTCTCAACTGTATCTGTCCTTGTAAATCATTGTGAGAGTGGTCATCATCATAAATTCTTAATCTTTTCCCTGGCCTGTGAAGAAAATTAATATTTTTAAACAGCTTATTGGCTTTTATGTTATGAATATTTCAAGTTAGCCATCCAAACAAAGTAGCATTTTTTTAACTACTCAGGATTGAGAATGAAGGACATTATCACTCAAATATATAAAGGTACTAATATATTAACAGTCTAAACTGTCTAACTATAGTATATATTATATGTATTCTATAACCGTGTTCAGTGGCGTAGCCAGGTTCTAAGTGCAGGGGGAGCAAACATAAAAAAGGCGGCCCTCTCCCCCGGCTCCTCCTCTGGCCACGCCACTCCTTGGCTCCTCCTCCGGCCGGTCCGTGCCCCCCACCTTGGTTTGCTCCTCCGGCCACTCCGTGCCCCCCCCCCTTGGCTGGCTCCTCCAGCTGCACCGCGCTGCGCCCCCCCTTGGAGGGGCTCGGTCGGGGGGTGGGGGTGGGCATGGGTTGGCGGGCGGGCGCTGCTCGCTTCTCCCGGGGGCTGGGGGGAGCGGAGCAGTGGGGCGGGCAGCAGCTGGCGAGATCCCCTCTCCCTGGCAGCTTCCTGCTTCCCTCGGCCCGGGCAGCCCAGCATTTTTTTCAAAAGCGGCGCCTGCCCGCCAGCTGCAGAGCGCTCGGCCGCCAAGTCCTGATGTTGGGGCCGTGCTGAGCATGGGGCACGATGGCTGAGGAGCCGGCCCCTTCACTTCTCCAGCCGCGCCCACTGCCCCCCCAATGGCTCCTCCGGAGTCTGGCCGTGCTGCCCGCCCCCCTCCCTTGCCTGCAGGAGCCCAGCGCCGGCCCGGCAGGTGCCGCTTTTGAAAAATGTGCTGAGGGGAAGCGGCTGATTCCCCTGAACCCCCCTAGCTACGCTCCTGACTGTGTCTCTTTCACCAACAGAAGTTGATCCAATAAAAGATATTACTTCACCTCAACCACCTTGTCTTTCTAATAATATTATAAAACATATTATATTGTCAAGACCAGGGGTTCTCAAACTAGGGGTCATGACCGTGAGGTTATTACATGGGAGGTCACAAGCTGCCAGCCTCCACCCCCCCAAACCCTGTTTCGCCTCCAGCATTTATAATAGTGTTAAATGTAAAAAAGTGTTTTTAATCTATAAGGGAGGGGTCGCACTCAGAGGCTTGCTGTGTGAAAGGGGTCACCAATACAAAAGTTTGAGAACTACTGGTCAAGACTTTGAAAACCACTATAATTCCATATCACCTTTTTAAGAGACAAGCAAACCCAAAATAACCCCACAGAAAACTAACATCACAAACTACTGTACTAGAATGTTATCAAGGAACGGGAGATACAATACACGTCTTTTCCAAAACCAAAGGATAAAAACTTTTACCGCATAAAAATTGCCCCAGTGAATCCAAAGTACTTGTAACGGAAGACATCCTGTCCTAATATTCCCTTGCTTCATCTTTTTATCACAACCTTAATTTAATTTAATTTAAAATAGGTATACTGAATTATTAGTACTGAAAATAGAACAGAATACCAATGTAACTATTCCAACAGTTATCTTTCACATTACATTTTTAAAAAATGTCATATTTTTGCCAATTACCCAGGAAAATCTTCATTTGGGAACCTATCTACAGGTCCTTCCATCACATTTGGTGGGGGTATAATATCTTCATCAGGATCCCATACATCCATTCCAAGATTACTAGGGAAAATAAAAGCATTTAATATAAAATTTCCTTTATTAAAAATACTGTTGAAAGAAAGTATGTAAATTTTTTTCCAGTTGTGGAAATAAATTGGCATTATGGGAGTGCTGGAAAGCTAGGGAATCATAGAAGTGTAGGACTGGAAGGGACCTCAAGACAGGACCTCAAGTCCAGTCCCCTGCGCTCAAGATAGGACTATGTGTACATTTGGGAGAATTTCAGTTTATTTTTTTCTGAAGAGGCTGATAGAAAAAGGCAAAGAAAATACTTCACTGACATATGACTCGTTGACAGTTGGGGTGAAGCCCCATGGTTATTTGCAAAATTGTCCCGCAACTACTTCACCCCTTCCCATATGAAAGTATACATGATAGTGATTAGTACAGAAAAGTTTCCCTATTTACATCCTCATAATACAGGAACAAGGGACATTTAGTGAAACTGAAAGGCCAAAAAATTTTAATTAAAAAAACAACAGAGCTTACAACTTCACTGCTACAATGATATCATAAAGGCAAAAGAGTTTTGTAGAATAGATGGATTAGAATGACATCTACAGTTACATGAGATTGGATTTTTTTTTAAAAATAAGGAATATAAACCCTCATGCTTCAAGAAATAAGTCTGCTACTGACAGACAGGGGCTAGGAAGAATCTTCCCTTCTGGGCCCAGTCTGCTACAGGGTCTGTTGCATCTCCCTCTGAAATATCTGGTAGTGGCCACTGATAGAAACAAGACAACAGGCTAGACAGACCACAGGTCTGATCTGGAATGGCAATCTCCTATGCAGCATATCCAGAAAGGTTAATAGATCCAGACTCTGGCAGGCTAAGAGGAGAGAGTGAATTCCAGAGTTAAGGGGCCCTCACTAATAATTTTTTGCCAGCTGCTCCCTACAATTCATAACGCTGCTGAACGCACCTAAGGAAGTAGGACACAACAACAGAAGAATTTAATTTAAAAAATCAACTTTAAAAGAAAACCCTTTGCATGATGTACATTTATAAGACTTTATATTATAAACCTAAGGGGAAAATTACACTTCATACCATTCATAACAGAAGTCTTCAAAGATAAGCACTCTTTGTGTAAAGTGTAATAAGAGAGGTCAATACGTGCTTAACAGGACAAGAGACATTTTAAATCTGACCCACGCATTGAAAATGCAAGGAACTGCACTTGACAACTTCAATTATGTAATTAAAAGCCTTTGCCTACCTTCTCATTGGTTGAGTTCTGAGATCTGTTAGATATACAAGACCATCCATACGATGACCTCTAGCATCACCAAAAGCTGAAGAAAATTGTAAAAAGATTAGTGTGTGCAGTTTAACATGCTTGGAACACAGCTGCATATAATGTGGTCAATCGGGGCGCCATGTAAACCGTGGCATAATAAAACCGTGGCATGTAAACCCTTGAAATAAGTTCACTATTGATTCCTGTGACTCAATTTTAAATTGCAGCAGACTGCACAAACATTTTTGCAGCAAACTGTTTTCCAACTGTAACTATTGCAGTTGCTACTTATGATTGCACCAATACATAGAAATCTTCAAAACCAATAATGGGGTTGGAGGGCGGGAACTGTCCTCTTGATGTGGTTCAGATCTGATGGTGCCCAAATACTGCTAGGCATGGAAGCAGCAGCAGGAAGGATTTATCTGTGGGAACCTGTGCAGGAGTTAAGTATGAGGTAGCTGTCACAGAACCACTGTAGACACAGTGTCCCATGTTTTGTTCAAGTTCTAAGAAATACCTTGAATTGCTGTCTCTGGATCCCAACCTTCAACATCAATAAGGTATCTGACAAAAAACATGGCTGAATTATTATAAAGGTATAGATTATGACTGATATAAACATACTATTCTAATGAAAAAAATTATCTGAATTTTCATGTAATACTTGCCTACATATAAGGTAGCCAGTTCTATTAATTCCATTGGTACAATGAACGCCAATGAGTTTATCTATTACAAAGGAAAAAAATGTGAAAAAACAAAAATACCATAAAATAATTAGTGCAAAACAGAAAGAAGCCATTTATTGTTTACACTAAAGCAGTTTCAGTGAGCATGTTTGCTGTTTGCAAAATTATTATTATTAAGCCTGTACACACCAGGATATACGTCCAGAATTTATGTTCTTCCTGCTGGATTTGTAGCAGCAGTTAACTCAATGCTTCCCACTTCCCAACCTCTTGGAACCTAAACTAGTCCAGGCAGGGCACAGAAAAAAGAAGGGGGAAACTGGTGATAAGAAAAGCTGCCTGACTAGATAACCATCAACCACACTGTGATAAGGAAACTAAATCAAGTAATTGGAACAAAACATGACTGACTTTGAGGGCAAATTTAAACCAAACTTACTTTCACAAGTTCACTTACAGATTCTCCTGAACCCTTCCAAAAGCAAAAACACTGAAGTCAGCCTGGCAGCCTACTGGTAATGAAATGCACTACTAGAGGGATCCAAGCACAGGCGTCTAAATTTGGTCCATTACTCCTGGGATGGCAGATGCCTGAGGCATTGTGGAGGCAGTGCATTTAGCTTCTTGCTTTGTATTGCCATCTCCAGTCAACTCAGGAGTGGCACTTACAGACTTTGGAGACAGCTGTGTCTCTTCATCCAGTTGCAAACTAGGAAGTTGGGGTTCTGACCAACATTCAGAACAAAACATTCCGACCCAAAGGGTCCCTGAAGGAATGCCTTTGTCACATCCAAATCATTAGATTATGCAGGAAGGAAACTCCCTACACTTCAGCTCATAAGCCAAAAACAGCAACCAAGGAGCCAGAACATTAACTACTGGGATAAGAAAGAACCATCTCATAATACCGTTCTTCTTTTCCAACACTTCAAATTTGGGCCCTGGTTTCTGAGATTTACGTCCACCTGCAAACTGGCTATCCACAACAGAACCATACATCTTATCTGAGGTAGAGCAGTACAACTTTGGCAATGGAAATTTTCTGACACAAACCATTACAGAGCTATCACAGTAAGAAACCAGAACTTGGTCAACAGAGCAGTCTCCTGAATCAGGCACACAGCTGAATGATTCTCAGCTGCCAGTAAAGATTTGTTCCAGAAGATGCTGAACTGAGTTGTGCAAGAGCCTTCAATACTAAGGGAAAGATAAAAAGAGATACACATGTAGGTTGTAGCAGGATGTGTGCAACGAGTTCTTCCATGCATAGAGCTGTCACACCAGCCTGGGGAGAACTGTGTAACAGCTCTGCACAAACACTATGTAAACTCCCAACCACCTCTATAACTGTATCATGCTCTTAAAGAATTAGTATCTTCATGAGAGCAAAGGAGTATCCAGCTGCCATCAAAATATCTTGACATGATGCCCCGTAGCTACTGAACTTTATAACCGATTAACTAAATGACATCTTCATGCTCTTGAACTATCTCCTTGACTCCTAATTCAGAGAACTGAAGGTCACACTACTAAGTGGTTCTGCTATGAAGTAGAGGGTGGAGATCAGACAGGAGGCTATCACATTACATGCCTTCAACAGGGTAAGGCTAGCTCACGGATCACAATGAAAGAAGAAAAAGTATGATCAGAAAATCCCTGATTGTGTCCAATTACAAAAACACAGAAAGCGTTATGAAAAGTATTACTTATTATACACAGAACTATGCCAGTGGCTCCCAAGCTGTGGTCTGTGAACCAGCAGTGATCCATGAAGTGCCTGCTGGTCACATGGGCTAGCTCTCCTTGTTCTCAGCTGGCACATCACATTAAATACAGCTAAAAATATGACACTATTAGGAAGGCAGTCCATGTAATAAATGCTGTAGCTGACATGAGCATTTTGGAGTGGCAAAAGGGATAGGAGATGGTCCACGAGATTATGAAGTTACAAAACTGGATCACACGATGAAAAAGTTTGAGAAACCTGAATTGTAGAAGTGAACATCTATTGTGATTAATAAATCATACATTTAAGATTTAAGTAACATTTTGGTCTTTTATAGCATTAAAGATGCTGTTAATTACCATTTCCTGCATTTTCCCAAAGGAACTTTCTGACCCATTTTTTGAATTGTAGAATAGTAGCATTATCGGGGACTTCAAGTCCAACAGTATACAGTTTCTTATACTGCACACTTTTAGGTAAATCCTAGCAACAAGGAGAAAAAAATAGCAACAATCATTAGTCACTAAAATCTTGTACCACCATAAAACTTACAAACAATATATAAAAAACCCCAGATGTAAGTCACTGGTTCAAATCTGTATTAGTAGTGATTGAAAATGATCATTTTGTAGTTATATTAGAAAAGCTGTACTCACAAAAACTGACATAGCAAATAGCCCTTTTGTTGGGAAGAGTCAATCTCAAGCAAAGAAATCTAGGTTTGCAATGGAGACGGAATTACCCCTTTTAATACCTCCTGGTCACAGTAGATGCACACTGGTTGGACTGATGAGGGAAGCTTGTACTGCCATTCAAATCCTCTTCATGAAGAGTATCAAGCTTCACCTCCTCTCCCTTACTTATTTTATCCCATTATAGTGTATATTCAAGGGTCTACATTTAGTAACACATGCTTCTATTTACTCTTGCACAGAGCACATTAAATGGATACTCCCAATTACAATGTAATGAATTTTTTTTTAATCGGTGTAGAGTTAACCTGTGGAATCTATTCATACAGCATAATAGTGAAAGAAATATTATATTTTTAAAAAGATTTAGATATAGCATCTGTCTTCAGGGCAGGGGCCATGTCTGCCTGTGTGTTTGTGCAATGCCTAGCATAGTAGTCTTGATCAGAGAATCTGGGAACTACAGTACTATATATAAATATAATGATCAAATGCTAGTAAAGTTCCTGAATCAAGCCATAAGTGAATGCTAGCTGAGGTTAAGATGATATTTCCTTCATGATACAATTCTGCATAAATTTCTGCTGGAAACAGGATACCAGATTAGATGGTTCACTTGTCTGTTCAAACATGACAATTTCTAGACTGGGATTAAGTAACACAAGATAAAAGGTAGCAGTAATTGTGCATTTAATTCTGCTATTACTTATTTACTATTACCTTAACTTCATAATACCGTGTGGTGTATGTTAAATCAATAATTAATCCAAGTTCCACATTTAGGGCTTTCATTGCAGCAATCAGGTCTTTGGGTGTAAATTTCTGGGTTGGAGTAAGTCTCTGGTTAATTGCCTGTGATGAAAAAGGAAAATGAAGATTGCGTTTTACAAATTCCAATAAAAATAGAAACATCCGCCTCATAAAATGAATCAGGAACAAGAGGAAACATAGGCATTCAATGTATTGTGTGGATTCAAAAACTACATTGAGATGGAACTGATGACCCAAAATAAGTTCATGATTTTATTGTATGATATTATGACAAGAGATGAGACTGTGGCAGAAGCTCCAGCGCAATAAGCACTAATTTCATATCAAGAAAAAAGTCCTGCACAATGAAGAATGAATATAACAATTTAAAGTAATTCCTTGAACACAGACAAATCTAACATTGATGTCAATAAGCAAAACAAAATATAAAAATCTTACCCACTGCAAAAAATCCCAAACAACCAGTCTATTCTACATAAAAACTAGGGAGCTCTGATAGAACAGCTTACTGACTCACCTCTCTTCCCACAAATGATGGGGATACTTATTTTTCCCTGCCTGTTTGTTTTCTTCTCTGTCACTCAAGCTACTGGATGCTACATAAATTTATAATTTAGCATTAAGATAATTTTTTCCCTGTATATTTGAAACAAAGTCTTATCAGGATTGAAGTGAGTGTAAGAAGAATGTAGACAGCAGCAAAAAATTCTCTAATGAGCATCAGGGCCAGGCAAAGTATCAGGAAGCCTAAACAGCTCCATGACAGCTTCCAGTCTCTGCTTTGACCAACATAAACTCAGCAAAACAGAGAATCTGGCCAACCATGTGAAACAGATTAAGATGGACTTCCATATAAGATGGTGCCTACATACCATTAAAGAGCATTTGAGCAAAACATTTCTTTAAAATATACTTCTTTTGTCCATTTCTGTGCAATTTACAGGAACAGGATACGGAGACATACATTTATAGCCACCATTTCAAAAGTGGTCCAGTGACCACTACCCTTTAATGGGTGATCATCATGTATGTGAAATTAATTTCTGGTTTATGTCAAGTGAACAGTTATCCACATCACAAAAATCACCACCACAAGTAGGACTCTTGTTACAGCAGTTTCAGAAGATGCAAAAGCCTGGGCTCAAAACTGAACCAACACACTCCGGAAGCACTAAATTCTGTAATTTTAAACGAATGGTGCAGATTAGCTGGTGAGAAAGTCATGATGTATAAGAGCAGGGCCGGCTTCAGGCACCAGCTGAGCAAGCAGGTGCTTGGGGCGGCCAAGGGGAAGGGGCGGCACGTCAGGCTCTTCGGCGGCAGGTCCCTTGGTCCCTCTCGGAGGGAAGGACCTGCCGCCGAAGTCCCGCCGAAGAAGAAAGCGGCGCGGCGGAGCTACAGCCGATCGCGGCTCCCCCCCCGCCCGCATCGCTTGGGGCAGCAAAAAACCTGGAGCCGGCCCTGTATAAGAGATAAGTAAACATACTCAGTAACACCAAGTACCAGTCTACACCTAGAAAAGCGAACATCTTTAGTTTATGGAAAGCTCATTGGAAAAGGACTGAATGTGCTAAATACTAATTTTAATAGAAAAATAATTTCTGTAATTTTTCACATTGAATCTGTTCTGCAGTTTGCATGAATGTGAATGCTATTTTCCATAAGTCTTCACACAGCAATTAGTACAGACTGACTGTAACAGCATTTTATACATACCCCTTTTAAAGGCACTTTGAAAGCAATGAATCTCGTTCCTGGTATAGGCTGTCCAACTGGTGTCAAAGTCCGCCATCTTTTATAAAAAAAAAATATTTGTATATTTTTCTGAATACTTAAAGGATAAAATACTTTTCAAACTATACTAATTTGATACAAGATACCTGAAGTTTCATATAAAACAGCTACTTCTGTAATAAAGTTTCTTCTTCTTCGGAGTAAGCTTTCCTCAACAAATGCACAAAAAAATACTGCTCTTTTTGGTCTCGAGATAAATTTCAAGCTACATTTAATGTCTTATAAAGATCAGACTCTGCTGCTCCCATATCACTCCAAACAGAAAGATGTAAATAGCATCCTGGTCTCCCTGGTGGATCATACAGCTACTTGCTTGACATGTCAAGGGCTAGATTTCCAAAAAAAAAAATTCAGAACCTAGTCCTAGTTGGGCATCTAAGTGAAGTGGTCACATTTTCTAAGTGCTTAGCTGGCTACTTTATTAAGGTGCCGAAACAGAAACTGAACTCTTTGAAAATCTGCCTTATTTCACCAGAAGGAGATATTTCGATTTAAATAAATCCAAAATAAATACTATTGTCTAGCATGACTACTGAAACATTTCTTTTGTTTTGTTTCAATATTACACATTTGAAATAACGTTAATAAATTACTATTGGGGGTGGATGGGGGAAATTCATAGATTCCACAGCCAGAGGGGACCACTGTCATCATCTAGTCCAGCAGTTCTCAAACTGTGGGTTGTGACCCCAAAGTGGGTCGTGACCCAGTTTTAATGGGGTCACCAGGGCCAGCATTAGACTTACTGGGATCCAGGGCTGAGGCTGAAGACTGAGCTCCACCCCCACCTGGGGCAATGGGGCTTGAGCTGCAGCCCCCTCTCCGCCCACCTGGGGTGGCAGGGCGTGGCCTGAGGCCCTTTCCCTCCACCCCCCCCAAACAGGGCGGCAGGGCTTGGGCTCCGACACCCCCCGTTTCCCCCCCGTTCATGTAGTAACTTTATTGTCAGAAGGAGGGTCCCAGTGCAATGAAGTTTGAGAACCCCTGATCTAGTCTGATCTCCTGTATAACACAGGACACATAACTTCCCCAATTTAATTCCTAGACTATATCTTTTAGAAAAACATCCAATCTTGATGTAAAAGTTGCCAATGACAAAGAATCCACCATGACCCTTCGTAATAGGGAAAGGTGCCTACGATGTTGAAAGAACATAAGTAGAGTATTATTTAGGTGAGTCAGAATATAGAATTAGCATTTTTCAGAGCACAAAGATTCTTCCATTATTGAGCACAGCTACACAAATTATATGGAGAGACTGCTGGCCCTCCATAACTAAGTCTGCAGGTTTCCATTATAAGACCAATCTTCACTGATCTTCTAACAAAGCACAAGAAAAATATTTTCTAGTGATAGTTTTTGTGATCACTGTTAGTATTGAATGGGGTTTTGTCCATAAATTTCAAGTAATTAAATGAAATGGTTCTGAAGTTACAAGTTAAAAATTAGTCCTTTGCACATTAAAAAAAAAATCTTCAAAATGGAATGGTTACGGTTAAAAATTTGTATATAGCTGTAAAACCACACTTGTACTGAGATGAGCTGATTTAGGACGATGAAATTTGGGAGGGAAAGCGCCTGTAGGTGGAAGGGATGTCTAATAGTGTTTTGGTGAAAATATTTTAATTTGGGTGAGTTATAAGCCTTTGAAAATCAACCATTGTGCATGCATTGTTAGCATGTTGCCAAAATGCTAACTGTGTACTGCATATGCACCTGGGTCTCAGTGATTTATAAATTTAACTGTATCCCCTGAACCCATCAAGGAGTAATTCTAAATGATTCTAATATGGAAGCTCATGATAGTTACATGTTTGTTAAAACTTACACAGGAAGTTTGGGGCAGGAAACAGAATATATTTATCTAAGGTAGCAAATCTACTAAACCACAGATCTCTGTATCTGATGCTTACTGATCTGTAGAATAGGGCCACTCACATTTATCTAGCTTTGTCAAGTGTTTTAAAATCTACAGAGGAAAAGTCAGATATAAGTGTAGTCTGTTTTACAGAAAGGTAAATAGGCACAAAATTCTGTGGGATGGAATTTGGGCCAGCAAAGGAAAGAAAAAACTTGTCCTCTTTAAGGATTGTTGCACTGTGTCCCCCGGGCTTGAGGTCAGGAGATAGAGGGGCTCTGTGGCTAACTGTTTGGGCAGCAGCATATAAGTTTACTGGCTCCCATATACTCAGGGGAAGATTTATAAGCCCTTCCCCATGCCCAAAGGTGATATTATACACTAGGAAAAAAACCTGACTGATCTGCCTGAATGGCACTGTAGTGGGATTGGCTAGGCCATTGCCTGTAAGCCTGGATCTATTGTGTGAAATCAGGCAAGTGAGTTATTTTTCTCTCACAATCTGTAACATGGTACGCTCTCTGCAAGGAGCTTTGTGAGCTACAGATGAAAATACACTATATAACTGCAAAGCATTTTTATTAGACATTTTTCATGTTTAGGGCATAGGGAAGTTCAAGGACCGGGCTGGAAGGCAAGGTTCATCTAATGCAATATACATGGGCCTAGCAATTAGACACAGATGACAAACCTGGTTCTAATATTAATTTTCCATGTGACCTTGATCAATGGAGGGCTTGTCTCAATTAAGGAAACTTGCTAATTATACTGGTGTAAACTTCCCTTATCTAGACAAATCCTTAATCTTTCTGAGCAATAATTTTACAATCTGTAAAATGGGTGTAGTAATAGTTACCTACTTCCTAAAAGTGTTACAAAGCTCACTTAAATGTGTGTAAAGTACTAAGAGTAAAGTATTAAAGATATACTGTCACTTTATTCTTATTATTTAACATTTACATTGCAGTAGCACTTAAAGGAGGTTGGGGCTCCATTGTGCTACTTAAAAATGTGGTCAGTTTCTAAAATGCAATCAGTTTCAAAATGAGTTAAGTTTCAGTTACAAAACATGACCCTGGGTATTCCCTGCTAATTTTTACTGGTCTAATATTATTTTCCTATTTCAAAAAATGTTTTTCTCCCCCTGTTGCTGTACTGAATATCCACACAAACAAAAGAAGAAACAAACTATCCACAATGTGCATTTGACAGCACTATCTCAAAGCCCAAAATAAGTCGTTACTTTTTATTGTAGTTTTTAAGTTGATGGTGTCCTCTAAAGTTTTGTAGTGGCAGAGCTGAGAACAGAACGAAGGAGATCAGCCTTGCAACACTGTATTCATTACTTTAATTCATGCGATCTCCAGGGCGTCACAACCACACTGGAAACTTCGGAAAGTGATTGTAAGGTTTAAACTTTTAAAGTCCAGGAAATTACTCTAAAGTGCTTCACAGTGCTTCCAATATTCAAAGCCAATAGAGATGGAGCAGAAAAAAGGCCAAACTCTACTGTTCACATACACCGTAATGTCCTAGATAACAGATCGAGCACAGAAACTTAAAACATAGTTTTTGTGTGTGAAAATGCTTTCAATTATCACGACTTCAAAACTACTGAACCAATTTCCTTCAAACTCAGTGTGCTCCTTATATCTCATTAACAGCCACAAAACAAAGCAATCTTGAAGGAAATTGATCCAGGCTCTATGTATGTGCAAAACCTCTGCTCAGAACATATAGGGAAAGTATATATTTTACACATAAAGAACTAATAAATATCTCAATGAATTTTACTGAAACTTTCCAAAACACTCCCTTTTTGGTAAAGATCAAGTACAGAAAAATTTCCAGTCCCCAATTAATTGGTTTGAGTAAGTTATAAGCAACTTAAGTAGGGGGTTTAAAGAAAGTTGCATTTCAACCTTAAATATAGTCATTGCTACCATAATAAAATGGCAAAAAAAAAAATCACCTAGATTCTAATAAATGTGCCTTATATGATGCAATAAAAAGTTGATAAGTATCTGGCTACTATAATTTATTTTGGAAAAGGAGGAGAAAAAAAGACTGAGACACCAAAATTCAAATTATGCCAAGTATGTGCTCACAGAAGTCACAAAAATCTGGTTGTCATCATAAATTTGGAAACAACAAAAGACAATATCCTTTGTAGGCAGTCACAGGGGTAGTGTCTTTTTTTTTTTTTTTTAAACTTTTGAGTACAGTAAGCATTTCAGAGGTAAAGACTAGTAAACAACAAAACATTTGTAGGGAGTTAAAATGTGATTTGTATTTCTTTTCACATTTTAATGTAACCAACACTGACCTCAGCATTAGAAAAATTGGATTTCTTCGGCTACGAATTTTCATTTTGTTTATAAAGGCCATTGTTTATCTGTACAACAGGAATGAGCTGGCTAAAGCTATTTATATAGTGCAAATAAGGATGCTGAAAAAAGAGGGGACTTGTACGTGAAAAGAGTATATTGATTAGTGTTCTGAAAGGCCAAAATATATTTTTAAATAGTTTGAAAATTGGAGAGTTTGTTTGTGGAATTGGACACACAAAAGTTGTTAGATGCGCAACAGTATTTATTTTTAACTGGACTAATTGCCTAACATACAGCAATTATTTTCATAGAAGCATTCTACTGCATGCTCACCTATGCACTTATTGAAAATTTTAACCTCAGCTTTCTGCTGCACTGAATTTACCAGTTAGTTACAGAGATCTGTTTATGGACAACTAGGGTGACCAGATAGAAAGTGTGAAAAATTGGGACAGGAGATGGGGGGGCGGTAACAGGAACCTACATAAGAAAAAACCCCAAATATCGGGACTGTCCCTATAAAATCGGGACATCTGGTCACCCTATTGACAACAGTAGATTTAATCTGTATTTTTAATTAATCAAGAGCAAATATTGGACTGTTGCATCACTAAATGGATCAGACAGGAACTGCTGTCTGACTACAAGGGAGAATGTTATTTACACATAAATATATTAAGTAAATTTAAAAAGGTAGTTTAATGAGATTTTGGTCACTGATGTTCAAAAACTTCCTGCTGGACTCCCCTGTACATGATAGTGTCCTATTTATTGCTACCTCTGCACACATTTCTAAAGCACCCAAAGTAATAACCAAGAAGGGCTGAATATGAGCACTTCTGTGGTCACCTATGTGAAAAAGGGGCATACTTTACCCTACGTATTCATGCTGAGATGGCATTAGAGTGGAAAAATTAAAAACAAACAATAAACCCCCCAGATCCCTCTGTCTACTGAAAATTGGGTGAACATGGGAAAGAAAAACTATGAAAACCCCAGATTCAGGCTCCTAGACACTACAGTAATATAAACAGTACTAATAAATAGAATGACAAGGCAATTTCTCTGAGACACCAGTACTGACATATAGTTCATATACAGCAGTTTATTATAAGGTTCAAAACAGCTTCAGCTTCCTCCAAGTCCACATTTGTCAAGTAATCCTTCTTTCAATTATTTTGGAAAACTATATTAAACAAGTTACATATGTAATATATAACTATTATATAAGTTCACTGGCACAATAGGTCAGTTGTGGTCTATCAACCTAACAACCATCCCTTAAGCATTTTCATCATTAAAAACTGTTGTTGCAGCATAAGCAGTGGGCTCTAACCTGAAATGGTCCAAACCCACATTTTGTATTTTTGAAGTTATTTATATAGATATACATAAGGGCTTACACCTTCAACATTAGATGTGTGTGTGTGTGCACAGATTCACTGAAATCCAGTTTTGCTAGATAACAGCACCTAAACCATGCCGTGAACGTAATCCAGTTGCATTTACTATTTCCACAGCATTCCAAAGAGCTTAAGTAGTGCATGACATGCAACATGATTCCATACCAGAACAGATGCAGAGTGGTAACCTTTTTAGTGTGTTTGTGAAAAATGTGTTTAGATTAAAAATAAAGTTATCTTACAGGCCAAGCTTTTAGAAGGTAATACACTGTTTATCCTTATAGTTCAATATATTCTCATAAGGGATTAAAATGCATTTTAAAAGCTTTAACTTTTAAATCTCTGTGTAACGAGGCACACATTTTTAAGGGTAGGAGGAAAAGAAAATACCATTGCCAAACAGCCATTGTTTCCATTCTTCTCACCCAGCTTGCAAAATTGTCGCAAAATTCAACAACAAAGGTAGAAAAATCTATTCAGCTGCTCTATTGCAATATGACTGATGAAAATGAAAAGTTTGATATTTTACTTCCAAGTTAAAAAAATGTAAAAAATTACTTGCTTTGGGCAAACGGAATTTTGGAAAATTGTTTAGTTTGCAGTTAAATTCTTACTCAAAGCATTCTTTACTGAACCTACTTCTGGCACCTTCAAAACAGTAAGGGGTTAATCTACAAAAATATGTTTTAGCCTTGTGCAGATGTGTTACAATATTGAAAAGTTTTGCAAAGCAGGCACAGAAAAGGTGTGCCAATTTAATACAGGTACTGTGGAAAAGCTCAGTGTCTCTGAATCCAGATTTTCCCATTAAAAAAAACTGTAAACGCTATGTTGGTAAAGTAAATTGCATAGAATTCTGGGGATTTAAAATTGAAAAATGTGAAGGGTTTATTTGGAGGGGTGAACAAGTCAATTAACAGCACTGAATCTGACCCCAGGGTGGTACCAAAAAGGTAATATATTGAAGGTAAGGCTTCTAGTTCTTAAGCCACCTGGGGACAGAGTATCTTCCACACCACAAGATGTAGCTCTATGACATGACAGCTACTTGGATTCTTTGAGGCTTTCGGTCAGTATCTCAACTGTTTAGATTCTTTAAGCCCATGATTTTCTGAGTTAAAGTTTAAATGAATCTTCCTCCTTGAAGGGAAAAACCTACTGCTAGCACAGGATTTTTCCTGCTTTGCACAGAAGAATGGTTTAAATAAATACATCGGAACAGATTTAGTGTGTCCTGTTTTAAAAACAGGTTGTCCACTATTTCCTAATTCACCCTCTCATGAATGAAGCAATGGAGTGTGAGTAGGGGCATTTCTCAATGAAAACCACTTAACTTCACCCTCATTTTATCATTTATGTATGTATGACTGACACTTCACAAGAAGTAGAACATATTAGCTGGCCTCAGGAGCTCATCTTCTAAGTTAGAGGTAACATAACAAGAGTTATTACAACAGATGATGGGGACAGGAAGGACAATAATTCAAAACAGGCATGTTATGTAGGTCTCATTAGTGCCAAGGATTTTCTCCTTAGATGTGTTATTTTATCATCATTTGGGAGAATAGGATCAAGAGTACATGGAAGTAGAGCAAGGGTAGTCCTAACAGGAAAAAGTTTTGAGATAGAAATTCAAGAAGGTTAAAAATACTGGGACTGATCAGCTTAGAAAAGAGAAAACTAAGGGGGGATATGAAAAAGGTCAGTAAAATCATGATTGGTGTGCAGAAAGTGAATAGGGAAGTATTATTTTCCCCTTCACATAACACAGAAACTACAGTAGAACTTCAAAGATACAAACACCAGAGTTACTGGTCAACTGGACACCATCTGAAATGGAAGTAATCAGGCAGCAGTGGAGACCAAAACCAAACAAACCAGGAAATACTGTACTGTGCCTGTATTGCATCTTAAAGGTAGGCACATCTGGGCTGCCTGTCCCCACCCCCAAATCGCCACACAGGGCACAGCTGGCAGGAGCAGCTCTGGGGTTTGCGCTGCTTTCCTGTAAGCCATGGACGAAGTCCTCTCCCCTGTCCTCCTAGAGGGACAAGCTTGCATGCTCAGTCTGAGCCTAGGAAAGAAACTTACTGAGCTCCTGCTGGAACCTGCCTGGGAGTGTTTGTTGCTGGAGCCCATGCTCAAGCTCCCGCTTGCACACTGTGCTCTGGAGGAGCAGCTCATTTTTAAAAGGCCACAGCCTGCACCCCGTGCCCACAGTTCCACAGTGTGCCTCACTCATCACCCTTGCAGCCAGGGGGCTAGAACCAGCTGCCTGTCCCCACCCCATTGCACGGGGTAGCCCCTTTAAAGGTAGGAAGTGAAGAACCTGAAGTTTGCGGACTCAGATGTGAGCCCCCGCTCTGAGCAGTCTGCCCTGAGGAGCATCCATAATGTCTTGTTCAGAGTTACGATCAACCTCCATTTCCGAGGTGTCCATAACTCCGAGGTTCTACTGTATGAAATTAATAGGTAGCGGGTTTAAAACAAATGTAAAAAAAATCTTTACACAACGCATGGTCAACCTGTGGAACTCGTCGCCATGGGATATCATGAATACCATGGGATAAAAAACAAATTAGATATGTTCACGGAGAATAGGTCCATCAATGGCTATTAGCCAAGATGGTCAGAGATGTAACCAGATGCATCGCTAAAATCTCTGACTGCCAGAAGCTGGGACTGGACGGCAGAGGATGGATTACTAGATAATTGCCCTTTTCTGTTCTTTCCCTCTGAAGCATCTGGCATTGGCGACTGTTCGAAGACAGGACACTGGGCTAGATGGACCATGGCAAATTTTCTACACCCCCTTCTCTCAATTAAGCATGTGAAAAACTCTCCATTCTAGTTCTCAGGTCTCCCAAGAAAACTCACCAAAACCAATGTTTCAATATTCCGAAATTTCTAAAAAGGTATAAAATAAGCAGAAGGAAGACAACAAACTTTCAAATACTCTATCAGAAGAAACAAAGGGTACAATTCTCCCTTTACGGGTTACCTTTACGAGTAGTGTATGGGGCACACTGAAGAAGGAAAAGATAAAAGATCCGTAGAGACCAACAGAGGGTTAGGATGAAATAAAGCATAGGATGGTGCAAAGCTATGAAGGAAAGAAATCTAAACTTGTTCTGGAATACAAGAAGAATCCAGTGAAGCAACAGGGGATGGAGAAGGAGGAAAAGAAGATGTGGTTAGAGCTATCAAAGAGGAAGCTTTTAATAGTAGAGTTTTGGATAAATGGGGAGAGTTACACAAAAAATGGTAGTTACAATAGTGGAGAATAAATATTTTAATAATAGGGTGGAGGGAAAATTGCCTCAGCAGAAGTCTGTGAGCCTAGATGTAGGGCAGAAAGTGTTAGAAGTCAAAGATCACATCAAGACTAGAGACAGGGTGACAGGAAAATGGTGGTTTTGTCAACAATAATGGAAACAAAGGCTTGAGTGAAAAAGCTAATTTTTGGAGAAACTGAGCTGGAAACAGCTGACAATCCAAGAGGAGTTATCAGAAAAATGCAGCAATGCTTGACTGGAGAAATAATGAAAGGTTAGGGGCACAGAAGTATATCTAGAAATCATCAGCATAGAAGTGACAGCTGAATCTATGTGATTGATTGAGAACATGTAGAAAGAAGCTATGGAGGCAGATGATAAAAGAATCAAGGAATGGAACCACAGGGCGTCAAAGGAATACTGGAGAAGTCCCGAAGTAATACTCAGGAGATAAGAGGAAGAACCAAAAGTGTTAAGGAAATTCAGGAACAAGTGTGAAAGGAGCAGCTGACTATCGAATAGGAGATAGTCCATGTACAATTAATTAAAATACAGTCTCATAGCACATGTAATTTTCCAATCTCTGGAAGGAAGAGCATATATACTGATCTGCTGTCAGCATCTTAATAAGATGTGTGTGTGAGGAGTACAAGTCAAATCTCACCTTTAAATTTGCATCAGAATGGCTACACAGCTTTGAAAGCCTCTCATGGCCCCACTGTCTAAATTCAAATTTCCTGGGTTTTATAGTGCCCACAAGTTTATTGTTCTAACAAGAAAGCATTTAAGATTATACACTTGTGCACACCTAAATCAATAAGTGACATATTGAGCATACACAGTACTTTTTCAGTCATTATCTTTATTTCTCTAATTTTTCAGACTTGCAAACATTCCATATGACTATATACATAAAGATTTGATGTCTTAAAAATAAAGCCATTTGAGTTATGCAAATATTTAAATAGAAGTCAAACCTTTTTCTACGCGTGGAAATGTTTTGTGCCCATCCCCTCCCCCAAATGCACTACCACCTCAAAGCACAGAATTTTACCTGCTTTTCTAAACAAAAGGGAAGCGTCTCACTTTTGAGATGAGAAAAAGCATAAAAACGTCAAGCTCAGACTAATTTTTTCCAAAAAAGTTATTTGGGTCTGAAAACAGGGGCTTCAAATAAAAATAACTTCTTAACTATATTATTGTTATAATGGTACTCTAGCTAGCTACTTTAGAAAAGGTATATGAATAGTATTCTTGTCTGGTTTATGTGAAAACCTATCCCCCTTTCATTCTTTTAAAATTAATGTTTGTATATTTAAAGAGTTTCAGAGATCTGCCACAACAGATGGAAACTCTCTTAAAAACGAAGTAAGAAAGCTCCCATCACATTTAGTTATGTGTATCCTGGTAACAAGTATAAGGAAACAAGGCTGACTTGGGGTCAAATGACTATGTATTTAATAGTGAACCAATGGCAGTGGTCCCTTGTACCAGGATGGCGAAAAGGAAACTTAGGGAAGAGCTCTTGTTTGAGCAATCACATCTGAGTGATTGAAGATCAGTGACAAGCTCTAAATGTAAGAGTCTAATCTGATGTGGGTACCTGAGGGAGCAATTCTAGAAAGAGATGGATACAGAAAGATGAGTTTACCCTATGTTAATAAGGTGACGATGAATAAATTATGTTACTGATCCTGAACATTTTCAGTTAGGCTCTGAGACAGATGTTTGACAGCAAGGAAATTACTTCAACAAACCATGTTACGAATGTTGTTTTGGACAGAAGACTTGCAGACCACTCTTATGAATACAAGTTATATTTGACAAGAATGGCTTACTGCTTTGATTTTTAACAGACTGGATATTTTTATATTAAGAGACTAGATATCCTTAAAGTAGAACCACTAACTATCATCCACCTGAATTGTCATAAAATAGAGGTCAAACAGAGGTGCAAATATTAGCAATATTTGTAGTTATGTCTGTTCAATGCAACATTGGTAACACCAAAACAGTAAATCATTTTAATAATAAAGGTAGCAGTTGTTTTCACCTATGTGAAGAGTCAATCTAAATGATAACATAAAAAATACACGTTGGGAATCACTGTTATCCAGTGAATGAATTCAGTTTTTTGGCTGCTGCAGTAGATCCCACTGTGTATCAGTTCTTGGGAAAACCTTAGTTGTATCTTCTCAAGAGGAAAGATAAATTATATTAGAACAAGTTGCAGATAAAATATGCAATTAGTTATCTTCATTGTACTTATTTTGTATATTTCACACTCGATTTAGACATACACTTCTGTTTTTATTTTCAAGCACAAGATTCACTTGCCCACCTTTTCCATAGGTAACTGGGGAAGTAGAATGTTAGGTGACTAATTTACAGGAGTAAAATGACAGAACTGTTGAATTGTACAATTGGATTTCTCAGTATCAGAAGCAATTTGAAAGCATAAAGCCTTTGGTCTTTGGCTTGGCAGTCTTCACTGGCATTATTAAGCAATAACGCATAGGATAATTGATAGCTCAATGGGCTATTTCCAAGATTGTTTGTGATACAGCAGTGACAACAGATTTAGAGCACAGCAGGAATGAACTATGGTATGCCTGCACTGCCTCTGCTCTATCTGTTCTATACATAAATAGAACATTCCCATTTCCAATACTATTATTCTGGTATCTTTAATGGACACTAGACTTATTTCTTAAATTAAAAAAGCAACAAATTTATCTACTACAGTACTTTCCAGAATATAATAGCTCAGAAAACTCCAGTGTTGAAGTACATCAGGAATCCAGGTTCAGCAAAGAAATTAAAATATTGGCATTTGTCTGTTGGGAAAGGTTTTGACTAACAGCGGAAACCTGGTAAAGACAGTCGTACATCTTTTAAAAGTTACACTAGGGAGAAAAGTAACTTGAAAGATGACTATCTGAAGCTAAATGTAACAATTCAGAGGTTTCCAAAACTTGCAGTCCTTTATGAATATGCATGATTAGAGGGTGATTTACAGAGTTTAGTACTTACCTTAGACCTCCCTCCCCCCAAAAAAACAGAATTCCAAACCAGATACTATACACATGCCAAATAACTAAATGTATAGAAACAGAGACTGAAATACTGCAAATTGCATAAGTTCATCTCCAGAATAGTATACTTGAGCTGTGTGCTGCAGCTCAGGATCTAGGCCAAAGTGCTTTACAGACATGTACAATTCTCACACAGATACCATAGATTTCTAACAGAGATCTCATGCGACTTGGTTTGCCCTATTTCCCCCTGTGTTTAAAGTGTGATTCTGCTCTGAGGGCAGACTTCAAAAGGCTTTCTGGGGTCACACATTGTCTCACTGACTTCCAGAGCAAATTTGCTCAGTTTCTCTCTAAAACAATGTTTTATTTTAGACTGCTAGCCCTGTGAACAACTTTGAATCCGAACTTTGAACTTTTCTTCTCATGCAGCCTCACAAATAAGTGTTCAGTAGGCCAAATCAGGCCCTCAGTGACACCTGTCCAAACCTGATGGTCTTAAAATCAAAGGCTGACATGTGTAGTCCCATTGCCTTTAATTAAGGTTGGAACTAAGCAAACAATTCTTTTTATGGTGCACAAGAATAAGCAGAATTCAGCTTACTCTCACTTAACTGTATTAGTTCCAAAGTGTTAACTGAAGTAAAAAGCAGTAAAGATACATTTTTATCATTTAATACAACATATGTAACTCTGAACAGGAGGACTAGATTGAGCTCATGACTGTGGTGTCATTTTTACAGTCACTTTTCATAGCAGAACAGAACTGCAATGGAAATGGTATTCACTGTCTTTAATTTGGATTCTGGTGCATACATAAATATAATTTTCATTGTTAGTGTCCTGGCTGCTCTGGAAATAGTTTAAGTAACTTGAACTCCCTCTGCTGGTTGGTTCAGCAAAACACTGCATACACGCCTTACATAAGGGGATTTTAAAAAAATGTATCTGCAAGTCTTAAAAAAAAAAGTTCAACCACCAAGTTTTAAATAATTAAGGTTGATCAAACATGGATATATGTGGCAGTATTCTTTTAAACAGCCACCAATAAGAGAAGAATTTTATTCCCTAATAAAATAATAATACCGAAGACGTGGTCCTCTAATTTTGTCACCGCATTTCTAATACATCACTGAATTACAAAGCTTTATAAACAACTTTTTACTTTTTAAAATGTCTAATTAAACAATACTGTTTCATTTGTTGAAATCAGGTACTGATGGATTAATAATAATATAAAGACCTCTTAAAGTAATCAGCCATTCAGGTTAAATGTAATTTCAGAAAAATCTAAAAATAAGGGCTTGTTTACACTTACAACGCTGCACCAGTGCAGCTGCGCCATTGAAGCACTTAGTGAAGACACTACCTACGCCAAGTACAACACCTCCCTGAGAGGCTGTAGCTATGCTGATGGGATAAGCCCTCCTGTCAACATACAGCTGTCTACATTGGGAGTTACGTCAGTATAACTACATCGCTCAAGGGTGTTGATCGCTCTGGGGTGCGGAATTTCTACACCCCTGAGCGACATAGTTATACCAACATAAATTAGTAATGTAGACCAAGCCTAAGATGCTGCTACCCTTCAATATAGTAGGTTCTTCAGGTGATTTTGTATAAGAAATAAAATACAATTAGTTAAGTTACAGATATGTTGACAGAACACTCTAGAATCTGATCTTAAAGGGACAATATCAAATTAAAAATATATAACAAACTTCTATCTAAATTTTTTTAAAGCTATTATTGTTGCAATTAAAACTGAATATTAAAAATGAAAAATTACGAGGGAAAAACTGGGAGAAAAAGTGGTGCTCTTGACAGCACTATGTACTGCAAGGCCTGGACTACCCAGTTTTTGTGCCGGTATAATTATTTCAGTTTAAGGGTACGATTTTTTAAATCAAAATAGTTATACAAGTACAACCCCATATTTGCATCTGAAGAAATGAGGTTCTTACCCACGAAAGCTTATGCTCCCAATACTTCTGTTAGTCTTAAAGGTGCCACAGGACCCTCTGTTGCTTTTTACAGATTCAGACTAACACGGCTACCCCTCTGACACTTAACCCCATATTGTGAATGTAGTTTTACCAGTATAAAGGTGCCTTATATCCATATAGCTTCTTCCCCTTCCTGTACAGGAATAAGCTGTACCAGTAGAAGCTCCTTTATACGGGTATAACTGGATCCACACTATGGGGTTTGTATTGTTTTAATTATACCAGTATAAAGTGGTACAACTTATATGTGTGTAGACAAGCATTAAGTTTCACGGTTTCCTCTGTAGGTAGTCTCTCCTGTTTGCACAGGACTCTCTCACAGCAACAAGGGATGGGAACAAATAAAAACTGGGAGGTGATTCAGGGCTAATTGTAGTACCTAAAAACTACTTTTAGTTTGTTTTAAACTAGATTTTAAATTGATGGTATTGCTTTGAGTTGCATAGTTCCTAACCTGCTTGAACTTGTCCTGTTTCAAATTGTCTGGTCATAAACTGAGTAAAGAAACTGAATGCTGAATGGTTCAGAGCAATTTGCCCAGAAAGTTTTCAGCGATTTAGTTAACATATTTTATTTTCACACAAGCAATTTCTTACCAGAAAAAAAATAACCAGAAAATTCATATTAAGAATGTGCACAAAAAGAAATAGAAATCATCAATATATTATGTAGACTTAATAAAACCAGACACATTTTTAAACAATTAGATAAAAATCAGTTCCTTTTTCACTTATCTGCAGGAGAAACTGTTAGCAATGCCACTAAAACCCAAATGTACCAGGGAACTGCATTTCTTACACTACTTTATATTACCGATTCTATCAACCATACCAAGAAAATAAGTACCTCAATTTTGATTTTGGCAGGTCAAAAGCCTTTTGGGCCATGTTTCAAATATTACTTCTAATTTTAAGTAAACACATATATACTGTTAAAGGCTGTTTCACTAGAAATACATTTAAATGTTTACATAAGATTAAAAATAAGGTTAAGAACTTGTAATGTCTTCATCATTGACAAAAACCATGAAATTGAAAGAGAAAATCTTTAAAAACACAGCTGCATAGTTTAGAAAAGTACAAAATAAATTGAGGAATTAGATTAAATTTTTAAACTTAATTTCCTAAATTTTATTAGCTGATGACTCTCCTACAGGATAGAGTTTATTTCTCAATTTGGGAATGTACACAGGTGTTAGTTTCTACTTATAAGTAGAAACTAGGATAACTTTCATAATTAAAAAAGGAATGCCTGTAGCCTGTGTGTCTAGGTCAGAGCTGCTTCACTTCCTTCAAATTCAGGGGATGAAGGAAGGAACAATTCGTTACTCAATACGTTCTCAGTTCTGTAATATTAATAACCTAAGCCATGAAGAAAATGAACAAGACACTAATTCTTTTAACGGCACCTTAAAGACTAACAGATTTATTTGGGCATAAGCTTTCGTGGGTAAAAAACCCACTTCTTCAGATGCATTCTTTTAAGTTTCCTTCCTTTCTGTTTGATAAACCTAAGACCTTTTAAATAAAAATAAGTAAAACTTTTAATCTAACTTCATTTAAAACTTTGGATATAGTATGAAGGGAAGTGGAAGAACAAATTAAGTTAAAACTATTAAATACTTTATAAATAATAAAAAGCTACTGATATTTTAACAAGTTTTAATTCCTGACCACAGCCTGCTATGACCAAACTCACCTAAAATTCTTTGAAGTTACTTAAAAAAAATTATATTTATTTTTGTCGCCCTGGATTGGTTTTATAATATCAACATAAGAGATCTTTTTAGCAGGGAAGGGAAATCAGGACTCCTATGTACTGTTTTTGACTTTTTCATTCATTCAAAGGCTTTGGTAAAGCTACTTAACCCTCAATGTAAAATGGGGATAATACCCACCTTTCTAAAACACTCTGAGATCTTCTGATGAAAAGCATAAGCCTCACTGACCACTCCATATTACTAGCCCTTAAGTTTGTGTGCACCCAGCTAAGTCTGTTGGTGAACTGCCAGTAGCACAAAGACTAAATTTGTTATAAAAAAATGTAGCAGATCGCAGCCACTGTCACTTTTAATATGAAGCACAGCCAGTGGTCCCAGCATGCCAGATCACTAGGATGCGGATAGAATGCTGCATCCTGGGACTTATTGTCTGAGACATCACCAGTAAACATTCTGATAGTTCACTTGAAAAGTACAAGTAGGAAAAAAAATGGGCTTTTGCACTTGCATCTGAGAATGTCCCTTGTGCACATGCATGCAAGCATCTGCCTGCCCCTCCCCCCGCCCCATCTCCTCCCCAGCTCTTGGTGGTACTGTAAACATCTGAGAAGTTGAAAGGATGGACTACTGTCCCTTCCCTCCCCCCCAGTTGTGAGGACGCAATTCAGGGGGAAGGAGGCTAGGAAGAGGAGCTTGATGAAGGAGCAGCTTCACAGACAGGCTGGGGTATTATACTCACCTGGGGGATGGTGGGCTGTGTCTTCCCTGTCTTGGAGCAGATACCTACCTTAACTGGCTGTAGGTGGCAGAGAGGAGATGCTGTAGCGAGAGAGTGCATGGGGCAGTCAGAGCCCCCTCCCTGCAGGCGGGGCTGGGCCCGCTCCTGCCTCTCTCAGTGTGAGGGATACTTACCCATCGGGGATAGTATTCTTCTTTACCATGCTGAAAGCGGGAGCAGGCAGAGCAGGAGGCAACGGTGAAAGTGGGCACTGCAGCAAAGGAGAGAGAACCGCGCAGTTAACACGGTGCCAATCTCTTTCTCCATTACGATGGTCCATCTCACAGGGCTGACCCTAAATGCAAGCACAGCAAGCAGCCACTTCGGCTCCACATTTGATGCCATCAAGTTCTGCAGCTTGCAGGCTGGCCCATTTTCCTCTGCTGCAGTAGGACAGAAGGGGGAAGACAGCAGGTCACCCTCCACCCCCATCCCCCAAAATCTGAACCAGAGAAGAGGCAACAGATTTCTCCCTCAATTCGACTCTAGCAGCAGGGCTGAAGGGGTCAGAAAGATCTTACTGGCAGATCTTTCCTCCTCCTGTAGCAGATCTGCCCTCCCCTCGCACTCTCTGGGCCTCATTTCTGCTCCCAACGAGGGAAGGGAAGATCAGCCCCGCAGCAAGGGAAGAAGAGTCACCTGCCCAGCGCTAACCAAGCTGGGCCCGATCCTGCCAGGTGCTCAGCACGCCTCAGCTCCCGCTGACCTAGCGACCCCAAAGACAGCCCGGGGCCGCCGCTCCAAAGAAGACGCTTTTAGCTGGCGCGAGGCCCCAACCCCAAAGACGGCGCCCATTATCCCCTCTGGCCCCGGGAGCCCCAGCCCCGCGGCCGGCTCCCAGAGAAGGGAGAAGACGAGGCGAGCTGCGCCCAGATTCCGGGGGCTGCCGGATGCCGGCGAGGCAGAAGGAACAGGGATGGGGCCGGAGCTCGGAGGGAGGCGCGGGGACAGGCCGGGCCTGCGGTCAGGTCTCCTTAGCGAGAGCGGCAGGGCTGGGACCGTGAAGGGGGTGCGGTTGGGTCCCGGCGAGGCAGGGTGGGGGGCTGGGGCTGCAGGTCGCCCGTACCCTGAACGGATTTTCCTTGAAGAGAAAAGCTGTAGTAGCGAAACAGACGACACAGAACCTTCCCGAAAGGCTCCGCACTACGCAGGCTCAGCAACCGGCCAGCTACTGTTTCACACTGCGCGTGCTCATCAGTTGCCGATCGGGTCACGAATATCCTAGTGCGCATGCTCAGCAACTCAAGGGCTAGTGAGGCACAGAGTTATCAGAGCGCATGGCCAGCAAATAACTGGGGAAGCGGAAAGGTGTCAGTGCGCATGCTTAGAACCAGGATTGTCGGGAGGGGGGAAATGTATCAATGCGCATGCTCAGTATCAGATGGCCTAATTAACTTCAATTGGTGTAAGCCGGGATCCTCTGTCTTGGTGGCGCAGCTCCCTCAGATGGTCCGTATCTTCCCCATGGCCCGCCCCTTATCTTTCCCTCAGGAGGACTACAGTTCCCGGCATGCAGTGCGGCATCTGCGTCTGATAGGCCTCGTCCCTCTCTGGCCGCGGGCGGGGGAGGGCGCAGCGGACCTTTAGGTCTGGGGCAGAAGCGTAGTTGTGCACTCCCGCGCCGAGGCGTGGGTACCGGGGGTGGGGGACTGCAGTTCCTGCGCCGTGAGGTGGGGGGTTGTGCAAGTCCACAGTGTGTACTAGGGGATGCCCTTAGTCTCGCCGCTGGGAGCCTTTTACACCCGCGTTTCTCTAACTTCATTGCACCACGATCCCCCTCTGACAACAAAAATTACTACATGACCCCAGGAGGAGGGACTGAGCTCGCCCAAGTCCTGCTGCCTCAGGGTGGAAAGCCTGAGTCCGAGCCGGAGCCCCAGGCGGTTGGGAGGGGCAAAGCTGAAACCCAAGGGCTTCAGCCCCAGATAGGGGGCCTGTAACCTGAGCCGTGCTGCCCAGGACTGAAGCCCTTGGTCTTGGGCAGTTGGGCTCAGGCTTTGGCCCTTGGCAGTGGGGTTTGGGCTTTGGCCCCAGCAAGTCTAAGCCAGCCCTATTGACCCCAATAAAACTTGGTCGTGACCCACTTTGTGGTCCTGATCCACAGTTTGAGAACTGAGGTTGCGCACTGAAGTGTGAAGGTGCCTGCAGTTTTCCCACAGCCTGGTGCTAAGTTGCTGACAAGGGTCCCTCAGTGTTGGTGGTGTTTGTTTAAAAACATTGCAGTTACATTATATGAGCAAAGTTGCCAGTATCAGAAGAAAGTGGTCAGGGATAGTTTTCCGAAGAAATTAGTGTCTGACGGTGATAAGAAAGCGGTGTGAATTCTAGGGGACTTTCTTAATGTGCTGAGAGAGAATCTGCATAAGGCACATAACTCCTTTAGCAGCCCTTACGTTCTCTGCATATGTGAAAAAGTGTGGCGCCTTCTGTTCCCCACCCCCCACTGACACTTTTGTACAATTTCTGCCTTCCAAAGCTTCCCTCTTCTCTCCTGCTTTCTTCCCCATGATCTCAGCTCCTATCACATGCAGGCTCCTCTTCTGCTCCCTGCCAACTTTGTCTCCTCTTTCAGGAGCACTTGGTTCCAGCTCCTTCCCTTGTTGCAGATAGCTGAAAGTGGGTGAGCATTGGGTCTTCCTGCTGATGAGAGAGGAGACGCAGGCATGAGGTGGCAGGGACAAGACAGCTTAGCTATAGGAGAAAAGTAGCTCAGAGAAAAAAGGCTGCCTAATGCGGTCACATATTCCTGACTGGTGTGATTAGTGGCTGGGATACCAGTATTCCTTGATGTCAAGTATCAGGGGGTAGCCGTGTTAGTCTGTATCTACAAAAACAACAAGGAGTCTGGTGGCACCTTAAAGTCTAACAGATTTATTTGGGCATAAGCTTTCGTGAGTAAAAACCTCACTTCTTCGGATGCATAGAGTGAAAGTTACAGATGCAGGCATTATATACTGACACATGGAGAGCAGGGAGTTATTTCGCAAGTGGAGAACCAGTGTTGACTGGGCCAATTCAATCAGGGTGGATGTAGTCCACTCCCAATAGTAGATGAGGAGGTGTCAATTCCAGGAGAGAAAAAGCTGCTTCTGTAGTGACCCAGCCACTCCCAGTCCCTATTCAAGCCCAGATTAATGGTGTTGAATTTGCAAATTTACAATACCAGCCTTCTACACAAACTTCCACGTGGCTGGACTTTA